TGGACTCAAAGCCTAAACGTGTGGCAGTTGACTAAAGTCAACTGCCGAGATCCCAACAGTCAAAGTCCAAAGGTACCTAGCCCAGGCCACTCGTCAAGCACACACACAGCATCAGGTCCAAGGGAGAAGTCTACAACTGCACAATCCAGGCCCTCAGCTGTGAGTCAATCTGGACGACTGTAGGGAAACACCCGAGGCCAGATAGCCTCGACAATTGCTACTTAAGGCCGACCTCGTGTGAGTCAAGCATTCAGTCTTGCTATGCTGCTTTAACACTGGCTCGACTGTGACTAGATGTTGGCATTATGTTCGCTCGACGTCGGCAAGACGCTGGCTTTGCACAAGCGTTGCGAACGACGGCACGAGGTGGAGACAGCATGCTGGCGCTTTCTGCATTGTGTGCCAGGCTTGCTGGGATTGCATGCTGATGTGGCGCTACCTCTGGTCTACATTGCATGTTGATGTGGCGCTACCTCTGGTCTACATGGCAAGCTGATGTGGTGCTACCTCTGGTCTACATTGCATGCTGATGTGGCACTACCTCTGGTCTACATTGCATGCTGATGTTGTGGTACCTCTGGTCTACATTGCATGCTGATGTGGCGCTACCTCTACACTGCATGCTGATGTGGCGCCACTGGTCTCCATTGATGATGTGGCATATGCCACCTGTTTTGACTATTGATGTGGCATTGTCCTCGCTGTCTACATGAGGTGACTGGTTACAAGGAGGAGGAAGATCGAGATCTGTGGATGAAGGAGGTCGGGTACTCACCTGAGGTTGACGTCGTCACTGGAATCTGTGATGTCTTCATGGTCTTCACGAGATTAAGTGCCACGTGGCACTATTGTGTGTGATCAGGAATAAACTTATTATCATTGTTGACGTGGAGAGGGAAGAAGCCCGGAGAAGGAGAGGGGTCCGAAGGGATTATTACTGTGTGATCTTTCATCTTCTCCTTTGTCTATTACCCCTGCACTCTCTTCTTTGATGGTAATGAGATACTGTTTGAGATATCACTTCACGATTTGGAGACTTTGATGCAGATAATGAGACTACTGATGTTTGACGACTTCTGAGTATCTACCAGACTGGGTTCATTACACAATTTTTTTCATGAAATTGATGTACGGGTTCTGGTTTGGGAAAACGGGAAAAAAAAGAGTAGTTCCCGTTATCGGGCTTTTATGTGATCTCCAGTGTCCCCAACAAAGTAAAGGGCGGTTAAACCACGAGCTCTCAGGAGCCTAAGTTGACGAAGCTATTTTCCAAGCCTCGCGAACCTCCAAGTGTTGCTTTTCAAAGTAGCCTGTGGGCCTGCAAGTGTGCCTTTTCAAAGTGGCCTGGCTCTTTAGCTACCGGCCCAGGCCCGAATCGAAAACCTCTTACCCAAAGAGAAGCTCCACCTGTCGCCTTGGCTTTGGTCTGCAGTGGCAGATAGCTGAGGCTCATTTTTCTTATTACCTTCCCACGATCAGTTACCTCATTTGGCTGAAGAATTTGTCAGCCAAGTCTTAATGTTGCTTAAACCACCAGTACTTGGCCCAGCTATCGGCCGCGGGCCTTCCCCGTTACCGCGCCAGCATCTTCGGGGGTTGGCCAAGGGAAGGCCCGGTCGGTGCGTGAAGGCCGGGCCCCACTTATGTCAGCATGACACAACAAAGAGAAAACGGGAAAAAAATAAAATAAAATAAATCCAATACGAAAACACTAAAAAGTTAGTACAAACAAAAAAACGTAAAAAACAAAAAGAGGCACCAGAGGGAGGGAGCGAGCCAGTGAGAGAGAGAGAGAGAGAGAGACGGCGAGTTTGCCGCGGCCCTCCGTACAGGTC